TGGCCCCAGTGGGGAGGGCTCTGTGCCAACACGTAGATTCTCAGCCTCTCTCTGCCTTCCCTCCCTTGGTCCCCAGAGCTGCGCATCAAGAGGCAGAACTCCTCCGACAGCATCTCCAGCCTCAACAGCATCACCAGCCACTCCAGCATCGGCAGCGGCAAGGATGCCGACGCCAAGAAGAAGAAGAAGAAGAGCTGGGTAGGTCAGGGGGGCTGGCGGGGAGGAGGCGCGGGGTGCGACGCAGGGGGAAATCGTGGCAGGATCTGGCCCAGGATCGGACTCTCCACACTGTGTTCTTAGCACACAAGGCATCCCGGGGCAGCGTGGGGCTGGACCCTTGGTGCCCCGGATTAGCACGCTGCTGTCTGCCCCGTGGGGACGTCGCAGGCTGGGACTTCCTCTCGGAAGTGCTTTGCCAACTCTGGCTCTGGGGCTGAGGGCTGAGTCGCCAGCTGGGCGGGGTTCGAAGCTCCCCTGCCCAGTTCTAGTACGTGTGCACCATTCCGGACTGATCTCTCTCACCCTCCAGTCCCACACTGGAACCGCTGGCTCCCGCAATGCAGCCGGACAGAGCAGGGACCAGCCTGGTAGCCCTCCCATGCCAGGGCTCCCCATGGGGGTCGGTCCCCCCTTCTTTCCAGATCCCAGCTCAGGTAGAGGGGAAGAGCCAGCAGCAGCAGGCTAGGGGCGGCTGCCCTGGTCTCCAGGGCTCCCTAGCCATGCACTGACCCCAGGCAGGGCTCTGAGCAGAGTGTGTGATTAAGTCTTGCTTTGTTTTGTTTTTTCTCCCCCAATGCTGACCCAACCCTTTTTTTCCAGGTATACGAGGTAAGTCTGACACCTTTCCCCACCCCCCCGTTCCCCGTGTTTTGCCCCCCGTCCAGGGCGATGGCTCATTTCCAGTGGGACAGCACTCATGAAACTAACCATTCCATCCATTCCACTGGCGCTCACCACCCGTGGAGCATGGTCCATCCACCGGAGTTGCCAAGCCTTGCTACCTCGCTGGCTTATTTTAGCTTTGAAGCCAGCTCCTCAGCCCCCATCGAGCTCTGGCCAAGGGGAGTTGGGCTCCTGGGTCTGAATTGTCAGAGGGGGCTAGGGTTGTTGGGTGCCCTTGAGTTTTGGTGCCTGAAACGCCTTAGTGGTCTTTGGAGAGATGCTCTGTCTCCGCCACAAGGCCTGGGGCTCAGGGCAGCAGTGGCTGGACCAGGTTCTCTGGCCTGGATGGTGCAGGAGGTCAGACTGATTAATCAGAACCTGGAAACCTATGAAGCTGGGTACCCCAGCTGGCTAGTCACTGCTGATTATACAGGCCGCGCTTTGGACCTCCTCCTCCAGGTGAGGAGCGAATCCCTAGAGCCTGAATTTTCTGAACCTTTCGGTACCACGATAACGGGCTGAGTTGGCGCTCGTGGGATCCTTCTGCTGCTGCTGACCAGACTGGGAACACCCCGGGGCAGCTGTGATGATACCTCATATCCCTGAAACCACCTGCCTTCCAGGCTTCGCTCGGTCTGTGCAGGTAGCAACGGGTACAGGCCAGCCCCGAGCCCTCGGCCCATTCCCTGCGTGTCCAGCCCCGGATGCACTGAGCCCTCACCAAATTATCCAGCCCGCTGTTCCTGAAGAAACCGCACATATCAGAGGATCAGCCCTCTGAATAGCACCCCCGCTAAGATATATTTATAGCAAACACGAGAATACGTTCATCATCAAAGACTAGAGATTCAAGTCATGAGGAGTGAGGATACTGGAAACAAGGTTACGCTGAAAACAAAATCATCATACACTTTCTAGAGGCTAAACTGACCCTCCTGGCTAAAGTTTCTCTCCCCCAAAGTTCTCTAGCCTGACTCTGCCACTGACCCAGGT